CTTCCATTGAAGAATGTGTCCAGCACCAGAAGCTGCGTTGGTTGGGACATGTGTTACGTATGCCGAACCATCGTTTGGCGAAGAGAGTACTGTTCTCCATGCCCAATTCGGAGTGGCGTAAACAGAGAGGTGTCCAACTCTGGACTCGGCAGAGGAGTATGAAGGAGATCACGAAACGCTTGGGTGCTGTCGGTGCTACTCGCCTTCCAGGATGGGGACCGCGTTATCCTCACTGTGCCTGGTTGGAGACACTACAAGATATGGCTGCCAGCCGATGTCAGTGGCGTTCTTGTTTCTGTCCAGATTGCCTGAGTGAATGTCTGGAGGTGTAGGCACCTCGGAATGATTGTGTTAAGCTGGCACTATGTCCCTCCCCCATCTACCTTTATTCTTTTCTTTACAATAAGGCTTTCAAATAAGTCATGGTTGTACGGCAGTGAAGTATCGGTGTTGAACACTGATGTCATGCTGTCGGTGATGAAGCACGAGGGCTGGAATACTACCAGTTTGCCCAAGCCTAGACAGGGGAAGTCGAGATGCCGAGGTCGAGTTTGAACCGCGGACCTTGCGGTCCGTAAATTCTCTCTCTAACCACTGAGCCATCTCGCCTCAAAGTTGATTTTTGAAGACAGGTAAATGTTGGATTATCCAAAACCCGTGCTTTATAGGTACATCGGATCTCACCTTCCGCTTCTCACCACCACTACCTCATCACGTTAGTTTCTCTTCGTATACCGCTCCTTTGTTCCAGATATTCTGACGCGTCGGCGACTCCAAAGACCCTTAGAATTTGTCATCCCTTTTGGTGGATTTTACAGAGAGGATGTCATCGACCAGCTGATTTGGTGGTTTGACCCTGGCCTTCGAGGTGTGGTCTTATTTCTTCAACCTTACAGTCTCGTTAGTTTGTGTACCTCACTGTTGCGACTAACGGTGCAGATTCTCCACAAGTTGGGTTGTCGTACGATACAACACTAGCACTTGATTAACTTTGTTGCGATGGGGTTCATGACTGGTTCGGTTGTATGTTACAGGAGGCTTAGGAGACCGTGACTACCGTGTGTCCCATACAGCTCCTTGAAATATTCCAGATTAGAATTTCCGTCTAAGCAAACCAACTCGTGAGGTCTCGGGATGCCATAGTGGTCAACCGTACGGTAACTCAAGTGGCCGTTCGGCCTCCGGCGATAACGGTGGTCTTCGGTAAATCCGCTGGCTGCGACTGGATGAAACTCATTTTGTATTCCTGTGATAGTCCTGTATTAATAGTCCATTCAAATACCACACTTTGCAGTGACCTGCTCATCGTCGAATGCATGGATCTACTCGGCACTTGGACAATCCACTGGACTACAAAATTGGACGCGTTGGCTGAAGTGCCACTGGTCAACCGAACCGGGATTCTCATCACTTTGAAGGAGAAACAGAAGAAAATATTTACATCAGGACATCAAACGAAGCAGTTCGATTGCGCCACAGATGCCGCCATGGTAAGTTTTCGCTGTTAGGGTCGCAATCCGTGTTTAACTCCAGCCGTGGTAATTTTTTCGAATGTTGAGACCACTTGTGATGAAGAGTATAGAGGTCATTTCATTGGTGACAGCCGTCAGAAATGCGTGCATACGACATAGGACCGCTCGTCCTTGAGGACCAATACAAGGACATATTCTCATGCGTGGTTCCAGCACTGGTAGCTTTCCGCTTAAGAGGGACGATTCCAGTCGACCCCTTGAATCCTACCATAATCGTAACATCACCCCGAGTACTGGATTCCATCCCTCCTGAGGAATAATAACCGTAGCTGGATAGAAGCCTGCATAAGTCCGTTGGTATTTCACTTTAGTGCATATCTTACCCACTATTACAAACTCCATTTGATCTGGTGTGGGTATCTCTGTCGTCCCATTGGTACCCAACCTTCACCCATACTAACGAGATTAATGGTCTCCCATTACTTTTGATCCTGTTCTACTTGTCCTAAGAAATAGTTCTGGTCATAAAACGAAGGTATATATATATATATATATATATAGAAAATAATACCCTACCCTTCTGTATGGTAGTGGAAACGGAGGTTTGTGCTCAAGCTGTCGCCTTGGTTTTATGGCCATTTTCAATCAGTTGTTTCTAGTTCAAGCGCCAGATTGCTTATATTTTGTTCGGACAACTAGGAGAATCCTGCTCGCATCCAAAAACTACTAAAAGTTCAGGTGCTTAGGGTTTGTAATTTTGCAGCGTTTATCCAGAGCTTTTTGTCAATGAACCCTTGTTTCCCGTCTCTCACACGTACTGAAAAAAAAACGTTTTCTGTCACATTTAGGCGTTTGTACGAGAAGTTGATCTGATCATGTCGAAACGAGACTCGTGGGGCCCTCACTCTCCAAGAGATGGATCCCCTCCAACCCTCGAGACATAGGTCAATCTGTCATGCTTTCATCCAGTACGAGTTACCTGTGATAGATCGACAGAACTGACCACTTTCGCTTTGATACCCCCTTTCTATAGAACAGATGTACTCTTTGACTCAGTCCCGCTTTCCCGGGTGCGGTTCCCTCTGTTGAAATTAACTTGTGCTTTGACGTGTGTTCGCCTTTTGAATGCTATCTATGAAATACACAAATCACTGTTGATCTACTGAATTCTTTGAACAGTTCCACAAGTATGAGACAATTTTACGGTCACATGTTGCCTACAATAGGACTTATCTCAAGTTGATCACTTTTGTGTCCACTAAATGCATGTTACTGGGATATTGAAACACGCTTCTGAGTAATGTCTTGTTTGTAACATTCTTTACTTTAGGGTACACCTTGACTGATGTTAGTGTAAAGAACGATAATTCGACATTTTGAGTATGTAATTTGGCGTTTACGAAGAGACTGAATGATATTTGGAAACCGGGCCCGCAGACACTTGGATCCCCTAGATCCAGCGTTGCTTCATGCCGTTCCCCTACACAGCAATTCGTTTAACTAAAGGCAGTAAATGAGGTCATGCTACCCAATGAACTTTCTTCAGCTAGTTGCAAAAATGTCATTTTTACAACCTTCGAAAGGACATTGAATCAATAATATAACTATAGAGTAATGTGACTGGTGCCGACGCGGCGCTACTGTTTTTACCGTAAACTGGTTCCGAGGAGTATGCACTAGATTTTCACGCGGCAAGACAGAAGACACCAACTGACGATTAGCTTTGTGAGGGTGGTTAGTAGATAAAATTGAACTATTTACAAGATTGTCAGAGGTAGACAAGAAATGTTATCACAGTTCATTGGGACTTCATTGTGTTTCGCTCGGAACAACCAACCGGATGTAGCCGACCTTGTTGATGAGCACCCAGGCCGCTCCCCGTTTTCCAGCCCATCCGTTGCAGCAGCTTGTGCCCCTGGTTGGACTGCAAAAACAATAAGATTATGACAGGTGTAATAGGTCCACAATTAATTGGCAGAACTTTTAAGTACCTACTTCTGGAATCGGAGGTGCTCCAGACGACTGACAATTATGATAACCTAACCCGGGATAGCTTCCAGTAGTTGATAGGTCGTTCAAGTCGGTCAACTCCGAATCGAAAGGTGAAGTGGGAGCACTTTCTTCGTCCAAGTGGTCTCCGTCCTTTTCGATCCAGGGTGGAGTGGGCACTCGTTTCGTTTTCGTATCCTGAAAATTAGCACGAGTAGAAACTTTGGAGGTAATGTGGTTTACCGAAGCCCCGACAACAAAAGCCCGGCTGGTGACTGAAAGTACGCCGGGTAAACATCATCTTAATAGACGCACTGTGCCGTTAGCAACGTTAGAAGGCATCATATAGGTCGTGTGCACGATCGCTGACTGACTAAACAGTCGGAGTTGATCTGATGCAACTGAAAGAGAACAGGTTCATTTGGGCATCATGTACAAAAGGAATTGTGTAGGACCTTACTACGATTCGTTTTTACTTAGGCGGATAGGTGTATACCTGCATCTGTCCAGAACTCTGTGTGCGATTATCGAGGGCTAAAAGAACTAGTTGGGGAAGCAGCAGGAAAAGGCCATAGGATGAGTCTTTTGAAAAGTAAACAACGCCGAATCAATCAATGAAGAAAGTTTCGTCACCTAAAAGAGATGTTTAACAACCATTGCACTCCCGTAGAAGTATTATTTCAGTACTTTGCTTGTTTGTCCTTGAAGCTCAAAGTCAAGATTTCCAGTCACCATAGGCTTTTTGGGGCTTCATCAACGATTTTGCTGGAAGTTCGCTCTATGAAGTGGCTAAAGCCACTTACAATACTCCACAACCGACGATTCTCCCGCATAAACGCAGCTACTTTTTCAGTCCGTATATTTCACAGAATTACTCTAACATTCGGTTGTTCGTTACTTACGGGTTTTTCGGGATCCATCACTTGTCCTAGCGTGGACGGCACGAACGTCATGAACTTTTTTCGTCCCGATGCATCTTTGGGCTCGCGTTGCCACAGAGAATGGCCTCCTACACGCCTTCCATCGGCATGTGAGATACTATTGACGTAATCCGCTTTGGCGCGTTGGCTAAGTAACGGCCACGTACCCTGAGATAGTTGAAGAGACAACATCGTTATGTACATGCAAAATACATCTAGCTTAAGAACAAGGAAAACCGCATTCGAAAAATTCGGTGGGGGAAGAAGGACAATATTCGGCCCTCGTGCTTCCCTCGGGTGGCGTGGCAGTTGGGCGCCGAAATGGTGTTACAGGTGAATGATTATTATTATTCACCATCTGCGCACCTGTTTTCTACCCTAAGAGTCGAAATTAAAAACCAGAGGTTAGCATCACGTGAGTTGTGGCGTATGGTGTGCAAAAATTAACGATGTTCCTGGTATCGGTGAACTTGGACGCGCGGGGGCTTGAGTCAGCTCACCAACAAGACTATAGCGTTCGTGGCCTGTGATCAGATAAGATATCCTTACGAGTAGCGAACTGGAATAAGTATAAAAGGAACTACTAGAGGCCAGCGAGCTTTTCATACTTGAAATAACAATTATAAGGGTGACCCAGTGCTCATGGAAGTTACCTTCAGGATTTCCTCGAACTCAGAATCCAGATCCGAAAGCAGCAAAGATTCTCTAGTTAATGTGGTACAACCACCAGGTGAGCGACCACACCACTGTATGCTTGATTCGGATTTTCTGAAAGGCCGGTCCGCATCCGCAGTCAACTTAGCAGTGCGTGTGCTAACCGAATGGAGCACCCTTCGGTGCCTGAAAGGTGTGCTCATTTCATCTGCCGGAAAATCACTTTGCTCGTCATTTGCCAAATCTGTGGAGCAAATTTGAAACGATTGTATAATCGGATGGCAATGAACTTGTACTTGGGGTGATTTTCTCCTACAAACTTCGAAAAGTGGATGAGACCGAAGGGATAAACAATAAGATGATGATACCAGCTAAGGATATTAAGAGATGCGGAAATCACGCCTAAGTCAATAGCTATCAAATTCAAATATCAGAGCAGCTACATAAATCGTTCTCCCCACTACAAAATGCTCTGTACCAATGACAAACATAACACCCGGGTCCAATGCTGGACAGAAATTAACACTCGGCCTTACCAGGCCAAAGTGTCGACGGTACAAATAGATGCGTAACTAGTCCAATACCACACGCGTTCCAGAAGTGACTGAGACTACTAGTGAATCCGGGACGTGTCAATTGGACGCGCAAGGAAAAGTAAATGAGCCAGCACAATACTCTACCTTTAAGTTCATTTCGAAAATAAGCAAATTCGGGGTAGTAATTAGGATGGACTGATATCAATGTAGCTGCAACACTGACCCTTCGTCTCACCTGTGACATAATTAATCGGGATTTCGTCCCTTAGCTGAAACCAATTTATGCTGAAGTCGCCGGTGAAAACTCAAAATCTCATACAACAGGACGGAATCAATCGTATCACGCTAAACACATACCCTTTCGTCAGCCATTGTCGCACGTCGGCACATCCAGTTTAGACTGTGCATCCTTGTCGTGACCGACAGTCGTTAGCCTACTGGGGACAAGAGCGAGTAGACAGGGTCACGACTCGTGACCAACTAACCACCTTTACTCGTTTCTTTACAATAAGGCTTTCAAATAAATCATGGTTGTACGGCAGTGAAGCATCGGTGTTGAACACTGATGTCATGCTGTCGATGACGATGATGATGACCAACCAAACGTACGTTAACGGTAAGCTATCGTCTGCTTGCTGTACACATCCAGAAAATCGTATTCGAGAGGATTCATTACAAGGCTACTATATAGAAACAGTGTTGTAGGTATGACATTCTAATCCGAAATATGGCTGAAACGACGGGCAACTATGTCGAAGGCAACCAGCGTGATGTAAATTCACGGCGACTGTTAGTACCACAGATGGATGGACACAGTTTTTGAACAGGAGATGCGGTGGGGCTTTTGATCTCATCTTCATCGGTTGTTTTTGTGGATTTACGTTACATAAGGATGGCTAACAGAGGGCTGTGTTGACGATGTGATTTGGAAAACAGCACGGGTTAGTGAAGAATAAACATTCGCGCAAGATGTGTGATTTGGTGGAATAATCGAAATAGAATGCACCGAACAACACAGCATCCTGAAGATGACAAAACTGCGGTTAGTAGATGTAAGGACCTGCCTCAATGATGAAGTTTCGATTTGTTCAAGAGAAAGGTGTAAAAGACTTCCTATAGTGAAGAATCCAGCAGCAGTGAAATCGTTGCTCGACGAGTGCCGACAATTAAGCTTTGCGGCATGCCATGTGATTCCTTACAAAGGTGAAATAAATAAATGCTACGAAATATTTTCTTAGTATCATTGTGTTTCGCTTCAATTCCCTGTAGCAGGTGAGCACTGCTCTGGTAGGCTACACCGATCGCGCGCCCTATCTGAATTCGGTTCGGGGTGAAGGAGTGGGCTGCTTACTTTCTAGCCAAGAGTTTGTCCAGTATGAGGGAGAAATATTTAAGAAAATCGAAGTCACAGACTTACCTTCACAGCTTTCCGGAGAATTATGCGCAGATGACCCATCCACGGATCTTTCATGAGATGATGAGGAAGAAGGTGAAGTTGAGGACTGGCAATTGCACATGGTACTGTGTCTGGATTGTGAACCTGGCCTGGATAGGGTAAATTGAAGTGAGAAGAAGGTACTTGAGCGATGCAGCCGCTTTACTCAAAGTTTCACTCTATTCAGTAACAGATGGTTCGGGGGAACACTGTTGTGACATTTAAATACCCAGTACTTAGTAAGCGCGCGGAAGTAGGACGAATAATGCAACGATGCGGAATACACACAAACGCTGTACACTGAATAGTACGCATGTAATTTTTTTCTAATAATCACTCACTCGGTACAGGTCGAACTGGCCAAAGGAACTTTTTAGTCCGGACGAGGCTGCGTTTGCAGCCGGTCCGGCCTTTGAAATGCGTATCGATGTAATGGCATCGTGAGGACACTACTTGGTGATATCGCTAAACCCAGAAGCACTAGATTTAAGTTACACGGACTGTTCTGCTTCCTCGAAATGGAAATAAAGAACGTTATCAACATGGACAAATAATCTAAGTCCAAAGAGCAAAGCATTGTCAGCGTTTCGCGCAACAGTACCTAAGTGGTAGCTGAGATCGCTGCCACCGAAGTAAGTGATTTCAACAACCACAAAGAAGTAGGTTAGCTGTGCCGCTGGTTGTCCACAAAAGTTCCACGACTGCAGCGACCAGCCACACATAAGTCATCAGTGCGTTCAGCTGCCAAAAGCAATTTGACTTTACTCGTTTCAATAAAACAAGGCCAGTTTTTTGCTCATTAGACGTGGTCCTCCTCAGCTTTACCTCAATGTGCGCATGAGACTGTAATCGGATTTGCTTACAAAAGGAACTTACAAAAGTGAGTAGGAACTATAGGATGGATAGGTTTTTCGTCGTATTGCCTTGCAAACATCTGCTACCTCAGTGCCGAAGTGTCGAACCGGAGGAAGCAAACCGAGATATACAATCATTAGAAAGACTCAAACGAATCTCTCGTTTTTGATTTCTCCAACTGAATATGCCGCCTCATGTTCCAGCTGGCGTAAAGTTCGACATATAGGAGTATATTTTGTTGACAGTAACACAAGGGAATAAGATCCCAAAATGGACCCAACCGATACTACTCCCCCACGAAACCACCAAGGTCATCAAGGCCAGTCAACTGACATTCAAAGCCGACTAAGTGTGCTAGTCTAAAAAAGATCTTGCTGATTGGTCCTTCGGTCAATCTGACGAAACCTTTGTGACAAAAGCGAAATGTTGCCTACCGACTGTTTACCAAACATCTCGGAAACGACAGCTCTTGATTGGTCGGTCAAGGTAATGGGAACTTGACAATTCCTGATGTAAAATTAAGGTGAAGCAGAGGGTGATCTCAGTTCGGCTGAAAATTTGCCAAACACAAGTAGTAAACGCAATCCAGTCTAACACGGATTCAATGAGAATACGGCGCGAGTAGTGAAAGGAAACGGACTTTTTGCCACCACAGCCAATGATGGTCCGTAAATAAAGCAATGCAGGGCTGTTTTTTATGCCGGATAAAAACACTACCTGTCTGGGGTGCGGTTAAGGCCCAAGGTTGGCGAGATTACCAGACAACTCAGCCGGACGAACGTAATGACAGTAACTGCCGGTTGTTCAAGTTTCAAGAGTGGTGGGAAATCACTCCAATTTGGCTGCTTGACGACTCTGCTGGCATGAATAGGGCTGGCTCAAAAGACATACTTACTGTGACCTTTTATGCACACAAGGTCCTCGTTTTGGTTTCCTCCGGGTAGAATCATGGGCACGTGAAACATGGCCCTTTGAATGCAAACTATGATGATATGAATTGGAAGGTGACCCGGAGAAGTGCTGAGCTGTTGACCGAAGTGGAAAGGCCCCGAACCGGCGTCCGTGCTTTCGAGAAGCCACCGATGACGCACTGAATGGGGACACACCACTAGAAAGACGAGGTATTTTCAGGTTCACTGATAAGCCATCCGAAGAATCACCGCCACACACGGAAGCCCTCGAAGTCATGCGTAGTTCTGTCAAAAAGTTACCATCTCGTGCACTTTTCCGGTGCAGTGGTTTTGGGGTCCCGAAAAGGTCTGTACATGAACGAGTACTGGATCTTCGGCTTCCAAGGGGTTCACCGTCACCTGCATCTTCCTCGTCCGCCTCGTGTTCCTGTGAAGATCCTCCAGATTCCCCTTCGTTTGAGGATCCAGTCACAGAAAGCATGGAAGAGCCAGAGGAAACCTGACTAACACAATCTAGGTGATCCATACTGAAGCACCTATCGGTCTCATTCTGGAGAAAAAATGAGGCCCGAGAACTACAGTCTATAGATTCCATCCATGGATGTTGGTTACTTCTACTAGTTTCTGCGCAAACACCGACGCTGTCGATATCCATTTTTGAATGAGATCCAGTTTTTTCTGCTTGCCACTTTCGTTTCGATCCCGTCGGAGGCTTCTTCACTAAATCGCCGTGAGAACTGTTGGTTGGATAAACGCCAAAGATGGAATTTTTATTGCAAGTAACCAGGAATTTGCCCACGTTGGGCAGTGCAACAACACAAAGTCTCTAGAGCACTCACTGAGTATCTAGATGCCCACCGAACGAATCTGGGATATGCACTTCATTCTTCTTATCAGAGTGGGTGCTGCGACTTGTTCGAAAAGCCCGCGGTAAAGTGGGACTAGTGCTCGCACTCAACTGAGAAACCCGGCGGCTAAGTCGTGAGATTGCCCGGGCGGTTACTGAATCGTTCCTCAAAAGAGTGCGTTCAGAAATGGAACGGTTCGTATGAAATTGCGCCTGTTCATCATCCGCATGGAACTCAGTTGAAAGTGAACCCCCAGCAACATTCAACCGACGTCGATCTGATGTAAAAGTACAATGAGTTTAAGTAACTGGCACAACACAAGGAAATACCAAAACTATAGTAGGATCAAGCGCAGGTGATGTAGAAGAAAAAAATCAAAAGTAAACTACTATGATGCTGTTGACCCTATACCCTGAAAACCACTTAAACCATTAGGTTATGGCGGTATAATCACAATCATACGGTGACGAAAATCCTACGTTACCGATGAATACAGCGTTGACACTCCATTCTGGTTGGTAGTCTAGTTACAGCTGAACAATTATTATTACGGTAAATCGACCTTCAAGTGTTACAAGATGTCTCTATTTTTAACAGTACCACAACAGTTTTCCAGTAAGCTCCAAAGAGAGACCATCCTCAACCAACTTGATAGCGACAGCTTTCGAAAGCACTAATAACTCCAAAAAAGACCATCCCGTCTCCGTAGAAAAAAAGTCCGCCTCCAAGAAAGACCAAGATGTGAAAATCGAGCGCTGAACTTCCACACATCCGACAACAACCGAGTTTTCACCCGGTACCCCGTAGACAAAACTGTCCAGTAGGGTAATTGGTAGCCCTACCACATGACGTTCATTCGTATGACAGACCAATAAATTTACCCTTCTCTCAAGGGAACATCTCTTAGATGAGGTTACTCGTGTTGGAGGTCGCTTGTAATTTCTTCTCGAGAGGGAATAACCTTAATTTATTGTTCCACGGAGACCAACTGAAAATCGAGGGTGGTCTTTCCAAAACCTGATGGTAAAATTTCGAAAACCAAGACTAAAGACCCTGGAGGTCGTCATAACACAAAACCATAATTTAGAACAATACTTGATGGAACGCCGCCCACGTCAGTCATCAAGCGTCAAACGTAAGACGACTCCGAACAGTGTCGACACCAGAGTTGTCCCTTCCACCGGACAAACCTCCCTCACCAAAGACCACTTCGCACAAGAGATCACTTCTGCTGGATCGCCTGAAGCTGCTCCCAGCAGCTACGTTTCTTTCAGAAGGAACCTGTTTTGTTAGTATCTCTGAGTGACTAACCCAGAGCATGACAAACATATAAGACAACCCAATTTCAGTTCGCCTTATAGCACTACCATCTGGTCTAACTCAGAAGTGATACTACAGCAGCAACAGCCTTTTGCTCTATGAGTAACGAACTTGGGGAACGCAAACTGAGATTTCCACGACGATTCATCGTGGATGATAAGAAATAAGTGGGCTTCGTGCTTAAATGGACCAGGATTAGGTGTGAACTGTTGAAAGCATGCCCACAGTCATGCGGACGAACCATCGTGCTGTTGCTTTCAGTGCCTAGCGGCCATGCCTCCTGAATGATTCTCTAGGGCTTAAATACTAACAGGCTGCCCAAGTCTAGACAACAGCAGTTGAAATACTGAGGGTTGGGTTCAAACCATGGACCTTTCAGTCAGTGATTTAACACCATAACCATTGAGCTACCTAGAGTTTACTGCCACAAAACCATATCAATCTACCTCAACAAAGTTTCGTAATGGCATGGAAGAAACACGGACAGCAGGGAGACTTCGGGCTAGCCTACCACAAAAATCCGAACAGCTTACACCTCTAACATTTAGTCAATCTGGGTAGGACCTGACAGCACGAAGGCCACGGTTAGACGTCATACAGATCGATGTCTCTAGCCAAACACAGTGAGGGTCACGAGGACCGCATCGTGGAAGGCTAACAGCACCAAGAGCACGAACTTCGTAGTATCCTTCATTCCCCTTTGCTACGCCAAATGACCGACCTAAAGCTCTCACCTTGTTGTGGTTACCGGGTTTCTGTGCTACAGTGATACCACGGGCTATATTAGCTGGAACTCAGTTTCTAAAGGTTCAAGCATGCCGAAGAGGTCTAACTATTGAGTCATTGGCTCTGGGAAGGGTTCCCAAGACAACTTTAACCGCTGCTTTGTGGTTCAGACTTTTGAGTCAGAGGGCAGGGTAGGGTCCCCGAAAAAAACGTTACATCCTTTCACTGCTTTTTCGGTTAGGTGGGGGTATCCCAACCAAACCCCCTTCTTCGGCTGGGGCGACCGGGAAGCATCATTCGTTATTGCTGCTTTCTGCTCAGCCGCCCTCAACCATACCACCTCGCCCATCAAACGGTGCAGTGCGAGCAATCCACCTGCCAGTACCCTAGCCGGTATCCCGCATTCAAACCACCCCCAAAAAAGTAAACCAATATAAACAGTTACTAACCTCAAAAGATCTGATCAAGGTTGCAGCCCTAAACGTCCGTATTCTAAGTCAAATTGAGCAATAGGCATCTCTTGTTGAAACCTTGCTTTCCCTATCTGTCGATACATGTCGGGTCTCAGAAACACGCACACAAAACCCCACTGCGGTCGTTCACCCCAAACCGCTTAGGATGAGCTCAAACGTTCCACATTTCACTCTCTCGGTATCCGATAATCCTCACGAAATGTCTCGCGGTATCTAAGGTGTCGGAGTTGCACTCGATCGCAAGGCCGAACGCAACTTACTGGACCGGATCTCAGTAAACAGACAACTTTGCGCTGTGCTGTTGTTTGACTGAAGTCAACTTAGATCGGTGCGGTAAACGGTATTTATTTCCCGTGTCAGCATACGCCCGACAGACTGTAGTTCTGAAACTGAGAAGGACGGTCTCATCAAGATCTGTCACTACTGCTTCGATCAGCACGAACGAGAGATATAGTAATCCTGGTGGGTGATAGTGATGCCTAGGTTGGATGACTAAGTCCGGAAGAAGCTCAGAAAGAACGCCACTGACATTGATTAGCCGCCATTTCTTGCGTCTCCAGCCAAGTATAGACGGGGTCACGGAGACCCCATCCCGGAAGGCGTACAACACCAACTACACCCAAACTCTTCATGATATCTTTCATGCCTTTCTGCCAAGTCATGTGCTGTCCACCTCGCGGTTCGCGCCATCCTGAAGGAGGCATGGAGAACAACACTCGTCTCGGTAGGCGGTGTTTCGGCATGCGTAGCACATGACCGAGCCATCCTAGTCGATGATTCTGGATGTTTTATCGGATTGAAGTGCCTACAGCACAAGCAAATACCCGTTTTCTAATCACTTCGTTACCAACACGCTGAGGCCATTCATAACCAGCCACGCTTCTGAAGCATCGGTGGTCGATAACCTGAAGACGCCCCACATCTCGAGCATCACGGGAATATCGTGATAAAAAACTTTTGGCATGCTCGTCTTAGATTCGCAATGAATGGTGAAAGTAATCAAGGCAAGGTCTAACTCACCTGAGCATGGTGTGACACCTTCAGATTCACCACATTCGACAAAACACTGGTTGTGTGGTTGTTCTGCACACGCGGAAGACGTCCGACAACGACTGAAGAAACCACAGTCGGGTGTTCCGTGGTACTGCGCATCAAATATGGCATCAGACAGTGTATAGTCAGGACTTGTATTTACGATGCCTAGGTTCGCTATGAAACTACGGTCGCGAGCAGACTTGTGTTGCATTTTATGATATCATTATTCGATCCAAGGGGGAAGATCAGGAACGCTGGAATTGAGAAATGGTTGCAAACTGGATGTGATATGTGTCCATGATATAATCGAAAACGTCAACGGAATCATGTGTGTTCAGATCCAGCAAAAAGGCATTGAGAATTTGTGTTAGTATGGCTCCCCAATTACGATAACCATAAAATTTATCTGCGTGTAAATTATGGGGTTTAAGATCCGCTATTATTATAATTTACTACAACGCCGGTGATTAAAAGGGTACACGCTAGCCATACATGGAAAACTCCACCTAAACCTGAAATAACCCTCCAGGCAGAGAAATCAAACACGCCAAAGCACAGACCACCGTTAAAAGCTGCACAAGTACGTTGAAACTCATTTGAACAGTCAAAAGTGGGTATTATGAGGAATTCGTTAAAAGCTGCACAAGTACGTTGAAACTCATTTGAACAGTCAAAAGTGGGTATTATGAGGAATTCGTTAAATCGTTCTTCACACTACTACCATCGAAGGTCCTACTTCCAAGATGCTTCTGTTGGAAGTCCTGCTTGCTGCTTCTTCGCGAGTTTGCTTTCAGGTACTGAAACGACAAGCCACGGATATGGTTGACGCTTTGATAAGTGTCTATCCATTCTGAAGCATCACTGAAATGAACGAAGCTTGCCGGAGTTGGTTGATAAGATTGCCCTCAGTATTTGACAGTCATAGCTGTGGAACTGTTCAGCCGTTATTTGCAAGCTTCCCGACCGCCTCGCAGACCATACGTACTGGTGAAGAGTGTGGAACTCCACAGTCCTGCGAGCCCAAAAAACCTGCCACCTTAACGTGGTGATGGGACCACACAGACTCGAACTCCGTTTCACAAGGTGTAACATCCTGGGGGCGAGATGGCCCAAGTGGTTAGAGTGCGAATTTACTGACCGGAAGGTGCATGGTACGAGCTCGACCTCTGCCTTTCGACTTCTCCTGAATATGCTTGGGCAACTTGGCAGTACCCCAGTCCTCGTACTTTCTTCGAGTGGCATGGCAGATAGGCACCGCAAGGGATGCCACAGCTGAACGTTTTTTTGTGGAAGTGAGCGAGTGAGCCGACCGTAAAGTTTGGTGAACACGGAAGTTCAAGGAAATGGGAGGAACCCTGAAAGGCGGAAATGTTTGAAGGATATTCAAGTTGATTTGTGCCACCCGTCCACAGAAACCATCTGTGAGCGAAATCAGCAAGGGTCTACATTTAGTGACCACTTTGAGTAAAGAAAGCCTCGAACTTTGGGCCGAATTCTTCGAACAGCAGTAGTTATCATGGATACCAGCTGTCACTCATCTGCAGCCCGCAGTCGGCGTAGAATCCTGGACGGTGAGGGTGGTTCTGCTGTAGCACCCTTAAGGTGTCTTGCCACCGTGTCACCCAAAGGAAGCACGAGGGCCAGATACTGTCAGGCTTCCAGAGGGTAGCCGCTTTTGCTTAGCACAGGACCGGACAAAAATAACTTTTTGGGATAGACGGTCATCTGTCTCGCGAATTATATGTACTAGATAGTGTAACCTATGAATCCTGGTAATTCACTTACCACGGGAGATTTACTCCTTCCTAAAACCATCTGGCGCGCCCAAGCATCATTAATCCAACGCCACCTAAGCAGACCAATGTTTCTGGGGCATCGATGGTCAAACATCGACAGCGCATAAGACATAAAGCAGTGGATTAATCCGTCGCTCCGGACAGAAACGGGCCCTCCCAATTCGACAAGCGATCTCGCCTCCAGCCAATCCACTGGAATCTATAGAACTCCGCAGGTGAACAAATTTATTTACAGCGCTGACAGCTTGGACTGCAAGCATCAGCTTTGGGTTTGACCTTTCATTTTGCGCAACACTACACTTTGTAAGTATGGAGAGCATGCCGAACCGTGTGGTAGAATTGTTCAGGTTAAAATAACTTGCACCTTAAGGGGACATGAAACAAAGGGAAATAAGGTCTGTATGATGAATTTCTGTGAGTCAATGCTCCGTAGGCATCCCCATCCCCGATTTTCCAAAGATTGGCAGAGGTGTTTCAAGCGGCTGATGTGCCGCACTTTACGTCAATAACATCCGAAAAGGGAGTGTGGGAGTGACAGTCTTATCTTACACCAGTACACATGGTGAGATATCACTATTACCACAACTTTTCGATTTTTCATTTTTGTGACCTATGAGGAGTTCATGAAAGGCTCCGTAGGATTTCAACAACAAACAGAACCTCAATTCGGCTCATATCACTGATACCTAAAGCGCCATTTAGCGACAAGGTATAACGAAAACGAGGTATTTATCGTGCAGGTCCAATTTGTACGGGACGAACTAACGAGAAGTTGTTTACGAGGTTGTGGTAATAGCATCAGCATTACGTTGGGAGCACAGGGCCATAGTCTTTGCTGGTTGCTGGTTGGTTGGCATCGCCGCTAGCGCGCGGTTGTACGCTCGGGTGCCGTCACTCCTCGCTGATTGGATGCCTGTGCCCTCAATATTGACGACCAATAATATTCACTCCTGATGTGGCCGATTTTCAACGAAAGTCAGTGTTGAAGGAAAATTTTCGCGGAGTCCTAGAGGCACACCTAAAATTTCGCTGAAACCGTGGTTCGAAAAAGGAAAACTTTAACATAAAGTTTTATCATTTGATGGTAATTATTCGGCCACTTGAGATCTCCCCAAGCAGTCGCAATTTTAGAAGTTGTTTAGACGGACTCGCAGTCCGCTGTGCGCGCAGGATTGGTATTTTAGTGGCTGTCGGTGGCTTGGAGCGTTGTCGCTATAAAAACGGCGGGAAATTTTGTGGAAAAGCTGGTTCTTCGGGTGTTTTCTTACGCGCTGGATTTGGAAATAATCTCAAAACGACTTGGACAATAATCGCGCCATTTAAGTCCGCGTAGACTCAAAGTAAAGCAAGCGTCGCGACCTGGATATGGAAAATTTTTCTGTGATGGCGGCAAGCGTCCCGCTGAAGCTCAGGACTTCGTCACGGCTAGTACGTTTTTTTGTTTTTTATGATATTTAGCATACGTTATATCCGGCCTAAGGCAAGGTTTGATATCCGCTGATTTACCGAGCCACCAACAGTGCCGTCAGTTTAACTGTTGGGTTTGTGAGATGATCAAGCAGATGGCACAATTAGATGGTCACTGCTTTCAAGTCCTAGCACAAATTAAATGGACCGAAACGGTCTTGTAGGTAACACGCTGGTCTGGGAACTATTAGACATAAAGTGAACTCCGGGTAAGCCATCAGACTGGGTATGGTTGTCATGGTTCCGTCATCGCAACGCCGTACTTGAGTCCATGGACAGCCCTGCACATGAATATCTTGGATGCGTGGTTTAAGTGTGTTATTGTAGGTAGGATATTCTTGGGTCTATCGGGGGTTCATAGTGGTTCATTACTGCCACTCAAACGAGGTAATAAGAGAGCAGTTTCTACATTAAGGGCTCAAAATAAAGTGCCTCCCATAAAAAAGCTGTCACAATTCCTAACTACTTCAATGAGGCGACACTCCCTTATTTCAAAAACGGTTATCGATATGTACGTGTAGGTGATAGGTATGCGGTTGATGCAAACTCATGAGGATATATGCGAGAACGAGGGGCCTGTATTGGCCACATTTTGTTCAACTAAGTTAGCGCAGGGCTTGCAGAGACATAAGATCAGTGGTACCTGGTGTTGTTGCGTGTGTGCGCGACGAGTTGATCTAAGATCCGAGCTGCTGGAGGCCAAAGAACACCGTGGAACTTTGCAAAACCGGTTGCCTTTGACGCGCCAGATCACATGTATTCGATGAGTCTCCGCTAGCATCTTTTGCTCTTCTATCAATGATGATGAAAATCATGTACTTTGGTGTGCACTTTGTACCCACAAAGTGGGTGATGATGTTTCTTCCAACAAGTGGGTGACGTACAGTCAGGTATGATCATAATGGTATAGCCAGAATAAAGGATGCGTTTGTTCGTAGTTGCATGTAATGGAGCACTATGCGATGGGGTACAAACAAAGGAAGGGAGGGCATAGTTGCGTGTGTGCTACCAAATTGGGTGTAGCGGTGCCATGCCATCATTGCACTGAAATGCTTCCGTTTCTGGACAGCTTGTATGTGCAGTTCTGTGAGGAGGGGGATATTTTTGGTTGGCCGAGGAAAATCCTCAGATGTATGACAAAGCTTTAACAAGATCTCATAGATTTTGCCGGTCCGTTTAGAGGGGTAGTGTGGTGCGGCGCTTTATATACATTCGAAGTTGTTTTAGTTTTGCTTGTAGTGTGACACATAAGTTCAGTGCACGAACCTGAAGTGCTCGGGTCGCCTTTGCAAATTTAAAACACATGGCTTCAAGGTAGTATATCCGTGAATATCAAGTAAAGTGTGTATCCGGCTGCAGTACGGACTGTTCTGTTGTAAGACTGTAAGACCTGGCCTGTTTAAGAAGTGGAACCAAGGCGTTTTCACATGTTTCACAACGGTTGTCTCAAAACCGAGGCTCGTGTTGGTCGGTGTCGGCGAATTCGTAAGGCGGCATTTAGATAGCGATTTTTCGGTTGCGCGCTTGGGATTTCCACTGAAGGATGTGTCCTTGCAGTCTCCGAGTGGATCATTATCATTATCTGAGACAGTTGGAACGCATCGGGTTTGGCTACCTTACTAGTTCATTTATTCGGATATAGTCGAAAAGATTTCTGAAGGGAGGATGGGCTGCAATACTTTGACATGAATGAAGATTTGGATGAAGCCCAGAAGGGTGACCACTGTTGAATTAGTGATGTAAATATTCCAGGTTCAGTACGGACGCCGATCGAGAATTGTGGACAAATGGATTTGTTAAGCAATTGGTGAGTTAGCTACTGCACTTTTGTTTAATTATTTCTTTTAATTGATATCGCAGAAAATGTTCAGGTGCCGTAATTGATTATACCTTTTTTCAGAAACCCTACCTAGTAAAACGCTCAGAATTGGACTGAACATATATTATGTTTGTACGGATGCAACCAACAATTAGAAACCTGATTTGTTAAAGGAAGCTGTGTATTTTTCAGGCATGGATTGTTGGCAGGTGGATGATGTATGGATATGAAGGACCGTTGCTGGTTGTTGGATTAGTCTTTTATTTATAGTTGGAACATTATGGTTAGCTACGACCATGT